TTAGTGGCTGGAGGAAAAGCAGATGATAGACCTTGAGATGATCCAATTAATTTAAGAAAACTCTTCCAAAATTTCACTTTGACCTGCACCCCTCTGTCCAAAATTATTCACTTAGGGGTGCCATGCAGCCAGTAGATATGTTTCAGGAACAATTTGGTCAGTCGTTGGGCAGATGGGAGTCCTTTGCAGGTGATTAAATGAGCCTGCTTCGAGAACAGGTCTATTACAGTCCAGATGACAGTATTTCCTCTACTTTCAGGTAGGTCTACTATAAAGTCCATAGCTATTTCTTCCCATGATTGAGAAGGGTCTGCCACCAGCTGCAGTAATCCGGGGGTTTTCCCTGGGATTCTTTTCATTGTGGCACACACAGTATGACTTTTTACATAGTTTTCCACATCCCACTTCAGCCCTGGCCACCAAAATTGCTGGCAGGCGAGGTGTAGGGTTTTCAAATATCCAAAGTGTCCAGCCTGTTTTACATCATGGCTGTGTTTGAGAGCATTAACACGGAGCACTTCGGGCAAATATAGTTTCCCCCCTTTGTAAACCAAGCCATCCCTGCATGTTAGGGAGGTTTCATTATCTTTGAACCATTTATCGGTGAGGAGCTCTCGTTTTATTTTCTTTACCCCAGGGTCATCAGGATTGGGGACCCTGCGAGGCATAAGTTGAGCGGCAGTTTTTGGATTGGGGATAATTGCCTCGTTAATCTCCTCCCGTTCACTTTTGTATTGGGGTAACCAGGATAACGCATCAGCTAGGAAGTTTTTTCCTCCTGGTATGTACTTTAGAGTGAAGTTGAAGTGGTTAAAGTACTGTGCCAACTGCACTTGCTTTGGGGACAATTTGCGGGGAGTTTTCAGTGATCCTAGGTTTTTGTGATCTGTCCATACTTCAAATGGCACCTTGGTCCCTTCTAGATAGTGTCGTCAGTTTAATAGCGCCCACCTAATCCCGAAGGCCTCTTTCTCCCAGATTGTCCATCTCTGCTCCCTTTCAGTAAATTTCTTAGAGGTGTAGGCACAGGGTTGCAGGACCCCACTTTTGTTCTTTTGCAGTAATACAGCTACAATTGCCACATCGCTGGCATTGGCTTGAATCACAAAGGGCTCCCCTGGGCAGGGGTGCTTTAGGACCAGTTCAGCAGCAAATAGTCCCTTTAAATTTTCAAAAGCTGTTTGACAGCCCATTGTCCATGCTAGTGGTTGGCCCAGTCATGGCTTCCCTCCTCCTTTGCCTGTTTTGAGTAGTTCTGTAAGGGGTAGGGCAAGCTCTGCAAAAGAGGAGATGAATTGACAATAAAAGTTGGCAAAACCCAGAATGCTCTAGAGCTGTTTGCGAGTTTTTGGGGGCTGACATTGGATTATAGCTTTCACTTTGGCTGGATCTATTTCAATACCCTCATTGGAAATTCTGTAGCCAAGATAATCTAATCGGGTCTGGTGAAATTCACATTTTGACAATTTGGCACAAAGCTTGGCATTCAATAGTTTCTTTAACATTTCTCTCACCAGCTTTATGTGATCAGTCATATTTGTGCTGTATATCAGGATGTCATCAAGATACACCAAAACCCCTTTGTACAAGTGATCATGTAGGACCTCATTAATCAACTGCATGAATACGGCTGGGGCTCCCTGTAGTCCAAATGGCATGACCTTGAATTGATAGCTCCCCATGGGGCAGTTGAAGGCAGTTTTCCACTCGTCTTCCTCCTGTCTGCACTTGAAACACTTAATGGCCTGGGTCTCTCAGCCATTGCACTAGTTGGAGGCTTTCATGGGGTGATTGCTGTTTGGGTAGCTCTGGTTGCTGCTCGGATTCAGGTGGAGGAGGCTTCTTATAATGGGCAAGCTGAACATCTAGCTTCACCACTGCCTGGTACCATTCTTGCAGCTGATCAGGTACTCCTCGATAGATGCAGGCTTGAGAGAGGTGATGGTCTAATCCCTCTATGAAGTGACGGATTAGGGATTGCTCTGACCACCCCTGTATTCGACCTGCTAACTTGCAAAATTTTCTCATGTACTCCAGGGCAGGCCTGCCGGCTTTATTTTGTGAATTTGTTCTCTTGCCTTTAGGTCAAAAGTTGGGTCCTCAAATCTTTCTCTCAGCCCTAGGAGGAAGAGGTGGGTGTCCTCCAATTGGGGGCTTATTCATTGTATAAATTGTTCATCCATTCGGATGCTTCTCCCTCCAGGCTGGATGCTATCACATCGATCATGGCACCTGGGTCTGGGTAGAGATAAGCCCAGGCATTCAAATGAGAGCGTATTTGGTTGAGGAAGAAAATCAGTTTCTCCGGGTCCCCATCAAAAGTTGCTCTGAAAGAGGGTGCAATTATAGCCTGTTGGGATCCCCACTATGGCTGTTGCTGCTGGCCCCATCCTGGTTGCTGGTTCATGCCCAGGGGTTGCACGTTCAGGGGCTGTGGCCATGCCCCTGTTGCTGTAAGTCCCTCAGCGGTTGCTGTACGTTTGGGGGTGGTGACCAATCTCCTTGCTGTGTTCGTCTTCCCACCAACTGCTGATCTCCTGGCTTCTGCACCACCCCAAGCTGTTGTAAGGCCTCTATTAGCTGTGGCAAGCTCAGATGCTGCTGATCATCTACCTGTGGGGGTGCCAATCTGCGCATTGCTGCAGAGGTCTCAGACTGGGATTCCCTCTCTCTTCAGGGCTGGAGTTCCTGGCAGGGGGAACCATGATCTGATCTCCAAGGGAGGGGCTGTAGGCTTCTCTCTGCAGGAATTGATTTCTGCTTTTCACATCTGGGGTTTGAAATTTTTCCAGTGACTCACCCAAAGCTTGAGTAGTAGGCCATTCATTAGCTCTCCACCATTCTGCTTTTGAAGTCTTTGCTCCCACCTGGGAGATCTGCCAGAATTCATCTCCCCACAGCATGTTGTCTGTTGTTTCCTCCTCTGGGTTATCAGCAGCTGCTGGGTCTTCAAGCAAACTCACTTTTTTCGTGATAGATTTTTTCCCCCTGAAACTTTATCAGCTCCTCTCAAGCCTAGAGACAGTGGATGGAGTTCAGAACCCCAGGTCAGTTGAAAAGGATTTGAGATCTTAGCATGATGTCAAGGTTCCGACTAATGAAACACTTCAAAGAACTTCCAGGCATTTTATCCTAAAAAGTCTTTTTATTCATGTGACAAAATGTTGGTATGGCGTGATGAAAAGATGCTAAGATCTGAAATCTCCACCCCCCCCGAGCAGTTATTTTTGCTAGTATTTCCCCTCCCTTATTTTGCTGTCATGATTTACATTCTCCAATTAGTTTGAAGGGCAAAGGTTCTCTTCCATTTACAACTCATACTTTCTTTCTTCTCCCCTCCTAGCGTCTTCTGAGTTAACTCTAAAAATACCCACAGCTCTGCATATTTTGTCAGAGTGAGAACATCCAGTGTTAGCAGTGAAAGACACTCAGTTAGGTGAGCTTCAAACCCATTGAAATATAATTGCTTTCAGTTATTTGAATGGGCAAAACAAGGAAAAATATATTCCATAAAGTGGAACTTACCTCAGAGAAAGCCTCCCATCTTGTCTTAATTTTTATCTGGAAGAGCAGATTCAACTCCAACAAAGAAATCCATTCATTCATTCATTCATTCATTCATTCATTCATTCATTCATTTGTATTGTGACTCTGGATGGTGCACATAGGATTAAACCAAATGAAAACAAAGCATCATAGTAAAATAATAAAACAATGTCAGCTGTGACAAATGTAACTGCAATCATTAAAACAAATCACAACATCACAATAATAGTCTTGAAGGGTCCTTGATGCTCCCTGAGCTTGCTTGTTTTCTTGCAGACATTTCATTACCCAAACCACAGCTACTAGAATATAAACTAACAGCAAACAGCACTCCTTACTAGCACTAATAATGTTACCTAGTTTGGGTAATGAAATGTCTGCAAGAAAACAAGCAAGCTCAGGGAGCACCAAGGACCCCTCATATCAACCCTGAGCTACACATATTCTCCTTTATTAGTACAATAATAGTCTTACCTAACTTCTAGATATTATGCCAGGTCTTAATCATCCAGGTCTTCATCAAAATGCCAGCCAAATCAAAGGCAAAGGAACCTAAGGGGAGATGGTGCTTTAAAGATGTATTTCAGGCTCCATCACTTGGGACTTGGGAATTAGGCCTGGAACCTGCAGACAGCCAATGCATAGGCTTTATTATGGGTATAATTTATTATGCATTGCAGTAGTCTACTTAGGTCATAATCAGAATATTATCCCACACACATACCTTTTTTCTTCATCAAAAATGTCATGAACTGTCATGATCTTAACATGTAATTAAGAGAAAGGATGAAAAACAGGTGCATGGTATTCTCCTTATATAAATACTTCTGATGGCTGTTTCCTTAGAAAGCACAGGTGCTAAATAGACTCACCTCATGCATCCAAAGAGTACTAAAAGAATCCTGAAGAATGCACAAATTGCTTATAACTTTCAGAACATTTATATAGGTCATATTATGTAATTATGAAGAATAACATTTGCATATGTATTAATGAATATATATAGAACATTTCCATGTGAGAAGATCATTCAGTATCTCCTGTCACTTTGATGAATATCGTGCCCTGCATTTTTTTTTCACATCTGCTGAAAGTACAGAGGAGACACATAGATGTAGCAGCAATTTATAATAGGTTATAAACCTAAACCATATTTTTAAATAAATAATTTAAAGTTAAATAAATGCCTATATACCATGTTTCCCCCAAAATAAGACTGGGTTTTATTTTTTATTTTTGCTTCCAAAAGAGGCACCAGGTCTTATTTTCAAGGTATGTCTCACTGACATCCGGCAGCGACAGCCCCACCCAGCCCATCCATTCTTCTGCTGCCGAAAGAGCAGCTGCAGAATGTAGCATTTTGAGTCAGGCCTTTCTGGAAGGCCTATGTAGCCAAGTACTGAGCTATAGATCAGTCCTTGGCTACAGAGGTCTTGCAGAACCGAGCTATGGATTAAATGGATTGAATGCATAGCTCAGTTCTTGGCTGCAGGGGCCTTCTGGAAAGGCCTGTGACTGAGAAATGCAGGCCTGGCTGCAGAAGACACCTCAGAAGAAGTGGGCTGGGGAGGAGAGCCTGGCTGCCAGGTAATTGGGTATGGGGCAAGTGGGACAGCTCCATCCCCCACCCCCACCCTAGCTTTATTTTTAGGCGTGTGCCTTGCCCCAAAACTAGGGCTTATTTTTGAGGTAGGGCTTATTTGAGGCCCACTGCCAAAAATAAAGGTAGGGCTTATTTTCAGGCTTTACTTTCGGGAAAACATGGTATACATGTATATACTTATCAGGTAGTTGGATTCACTGGCTTATATAGTGTCTTTCAAAATTGTGATTTGAATATATATGTTTGGAGGTACAATTTGATATTATATCATTTTTAATTTATTTAAAAATGTATGCCATTCTGAGTGATTTGATGACTAAATATATTTTTAACGTATCAATAAGGATAAAAACTTCATCTCTATTATTTATGTGTAGCTTTAAAGATATATTTATCTTATATTTAAAGGTATACCTTTCTTCTTGTCAATGTCATCATTACTACATAAAGTTGTCACCCTTCACAGATTAAAGAGAAAAAAAGTGAATTTGGTGAAAAGAAAATGATTAGATAAAACACTACTTCTCTTTTTTCCATTCTAAATCTTATTTCCAATACTTTTTCTTTCAGTTTCTTAGTTTTGTTTTGTTTTGTTTTTTAAAAAAATGGGCATTTTGTTGAGATATGATGCTTTGGTAGCAGACTTCTTTTTCAGACATCCACATGCCTACCAACAAGTCAAGATCAAGATATGTTTTTTTAAAAAATATTTAATTTAATTAATTGATGTTTGTTTTTTTCCTTCTTCCTTGATTTGCACATTATACATGGTAATTGCAGCAATGTTGGGCACTATTGGAGCTCAAACCAATATATTTGACTAAATAATCACTGAGAGTTAACTACTGTACTAGTAATTTGCAGAGACATTTTTCATTTGTCTTCACAATACTTTTTAGTATTTATGTTTTCCACTTGACACATGCAGAAACTGAGTCCTAATTGTACCCTAAGAATCTTAATCTTCAAAACTGACAAGCAATAAAGAAAACTTGTCAGCCTTGTCAGAACTGTGATCTGTATTCAGAATATTTTTTTACTTTATTTTGTTTTTCGATGACTAGAACTATGTGATAATTGTTTTTTGATGGTGCTTCTCTTTTTTTTCCAGTGCAGTGGATAAGGTGATTGATTTTTGTGGATGGGTTTTAACATTTCCTAGTTCTTTTTCTAGTAGAAACATTTTACCCATCAGTTTACTGAAACTATCATTCACAACAAAAAGTATGTTGTGCCGCAGTAAGTTATGATCATCACTAACATTGTTTTCCAGGAAGAGTTGTTCTACATTCACTGCTCTGTAACGAAGTGTTCTGGATTGGAGAAAGAGGACATCAGAATTTGGGAAGATGTTAAATATTTTCATTTTCCACATCCTGAGTTTGACAGGGACTATCACACAAGGGATATGAGTTTACTTGTTCTGCGTGGTTTTATAAATTCCCTGTGCTGTGAAAAACATAAGGAATTAATGTAGTTTTACAATGCTTTTGGTTGGGTTTCTATTTGGACACAGTTGAACAATACGCTTTTGAAAATAAAGTACTGTTCTGGATAGGAACAGTCCTTGCCTGGAGCACTTCAGTAGCTTTTGAAAACCAAATGTTGTTCTGAGTAATAGAGGTCCTTAACTGGAAATATCTCTTATGTCCAACCCTCCAAACCCCAGGCCTGCATTATGCCTTCTGGCACCTTGTGGCAAGCACTTTGGGATAGATATACTGGATCCTTCGGCTCTTCTTCCTTGACAACTCCCCTCTTGCGAAAAACCTCATCAACCAAAAATTGGTACATGGAGAGAAGAGAAAGCCAGATGATGTGGATCACAAGTTTGCATTCCAGATGCTTGTTTCACTGGAACAGCCATGATTTGTATACATCTTAAGAGGAAAGAGTAAATGGCAGTAACCAGAATTATGGCAACTGAGATGGCAGCAGCACTGCAAATGACTTCTTACTCCTCTGACTATTGTCATTCCTGCAATAATAATAATAATAATAATAATAATAATAATAATAATAATAATAATAATAATAGTAGTAGTAGTAAAGTTGGAAGGGACCTCGGAGGTCATCTAGTCCAACCCCCTGCTCAGGCTGGAAACCCTATACCATTTCGGACAAATGGCTGTACAAGAAAGACCAAATGAAGAACAGAATAGAGGCATGGGAAGACAAAGCACTACATGGCCAATACATTAAAAAATAGCTGGGAAAGCAGATAATAACAAGACCTGGCAATGGCTAAGAGCAGGAAAATTAAAGAAAGAGACCGAGGGACTAATTCTGGCTGCACAAGACCAAGCCTTAAGGACAAAAGCATATAAAGTCAAAATTGAGAAGACAGCAACAGACAGTAAGTGCCGCCTATGCAAAGAAGCTGAAGAAACAGTGGACCACCTGGTAAGCTGTTGCAAGAAGATTGCACAGACTGACTACAAGCAGCGGCATGACAAACTAGCAACAATGGTGCATTGGAAGATCTGCAAAAAATATCATTTGCCTGTAAGCAAAAACTGGTGGGATCATAAAATAGAGAATGTCATAGAAAATGATAAAATTAAACTGCTCTGGGACTTAGAATTCAAACAGACAAGCACCTGCAACATAACACCCCAGACTTAACAATTATTGATAAGAAAGACAAAAAAGTCTGGATAGTGGACGTGGCAGTGCCTGGAGATAGCAGAATAGAAGAGAAAGAACTGAAGAAGATAACAAAATACAAAGACCTACAAATAGAAATAGACAGACTGTGGCAAAAGCAAGCAAGGTTAGTACCAATAGTCATAGGCTCCTTGGGTGCAATCCCAAAACAACTGGAGCATCACTTGAACACCATTGGCATTGACAAATTCGCTATTAGTCAATTGCAAAAGGCGGCCTTACTAGGAACTGCTTCCATCCTGCAACGATATCTGTAATACCATCAAAAATCCACATCTGCCTATCCCAGGTCCTGGGTAAGGACTCGATAGGTAGACAAAATGCCAAATCCAGCCTGAACATCTGGCTGACTGTGCGATGATCCATAATAGTAAAGTTGGAAGGGACCTTGGAGGTAATCTAGTCCAACCCCCTGCTCAGTTTGGAAACCTTATACCATTTCGGACAAATAGCTGTCCAGTCTCTTCTTAAAAACTTCCAGTGTTGGAGCATTCACGCTTCTGGAGACAGGTTGTTCCACTGGTTAATTCTTCTAACTGTCAGGAAGTTTCTCCTTAGTTCTAGGTTGTTTCTCTCCCATTGCTTCTTGTCCTGCCTTCAGGTGCTTCTTTTCTTAGTTTCCACCCATTGCTTCTTGTCCTGCCTTCAGGTGCTTTGGAAAATAGCTTGACTCCCTCTTCTTTGTGGCAGCCCCTGAGATATTGGAACACTGCTATTATGTCCCCCCTCGTCTTTCTCTTCATTAAACTAGACATACCCAATTCCAGCAGCCGTTCCTTATATGCTTTAGCCTCCAGTCCCCTAATCATCTTTGCTGCTCTTCTCTGTTCTCTTTCTAAAGACTCAACATCTTTTTTACATCTTGGTGACCAAAACTGGATGCAGTATTCCAAGTGTGGCCTTACCAAGGCATTGTAAAGTGGTATTAATATTTCACGTGATCTTGATTCTATCCTTCTGTTAATACAGTCTAGCACTGTGTTGGCCTTTTTGGCAGCTGCAGCACAATGCTGGCTCATATTTAGGTGATTGTCTACTAGGACTCCGAGGTCTCTCTCACAGTTACTACTATTGAGCAAGGTACCTCCTATACTATACCTGTGCATTTGGTTTTTCTTGCCTAAATGTAGAACCTTACTTTTTTCAGCGTTGAATTTCATTTTGTTAGATAGTACCCAAGTCTGTCCAGATCCTTCTGTATCTTAAATAAAAAAGTATTGCCTAGTGTAGAGTATGGCTGGTTGGGAGTTGAAGTCCACATATCTTAACGTTGCCAAATTTGGGAAACATTGGCCCAGGATACCTTTGCTTTGGTTGGGATCATTTCTTTCTATTTTTTTTTCTTCTTTTTTTATTTTTTTTTCATTTTTGCTTTTTTATTATTATTATTTCTATAATTCTATAGTCCACATAATAGCTTTGCTTGATTTTCTCTTCTTGCAATAATATTCTCTTTTGCCAACCTTGAATTAATACAATTCTTTTTTTTATTATTAAAAGTTTTTTGAAATTTTACAGAAGAAAAAAATTCCCCTCCCCAGACCCTCCCAACCCACCCCAACCCTCCCCCAACCTTCCCAGAGCTGAATACAGGCTTAATTAAAACTTAAAGGAAAAAAATTTAAACACATGTAAACCATAAGCAATTAATTACAATAATTAAACAAATTATAAAATACTTTAAGACCAATATATAAAAAACAAAAAAAAATATATCTAGAGTTTTCATTCAATCTCCATAATATCATACTTATATTATATAAAACCTATCCCTCTTTCTTTGTCATCAAACTCAAACATACACATATAAACATTAATTATACCATTAAAACAGAATATTCTTTTAAATACTCCTTAAATTATTAAACTTAAACTTCTTATCTAGAATTTTCATTCAATCTCCATAATCTTCTCTCCCCTTTATAAATTATTCAGAAAAAAACTAAACATTTTCTAATGTCATACTTATATTATTTAAAGTTTATCCATCATTCTTTATAAACACCCTCAAAAACACACATATAAACATTACTTATAACATTAAAATTCCCTTATACATATTTAAAACAAAGTATTCCTTTAAATGCTCCTTAGATAACTAAACATACACTACCTATCTAAAAATTCCCTTATACATATTTAAAACAAAATATTCCTTTAAATGCTCCTTAGATATCTAAACATGCACTACCTATCTAAAATTTTCATTCAGTCTCCATAATATCATACTTATATTATATAAAATCTAATCTATCCCTCTTTCTTTATCATCAAACATAAAAATAAACATATAAACGTTAGTTATACCATTAAAACAAAATACTCTTTTGAATACTCCTTAAATTACTAAACTTAAACTTCTTATCTAAAATTTTCATTCGATCTCCATAATCTTCTCTCCTCTTTACCAATAACCAATTCCATCCACAGTGAACTGTAATCTATCAATATCCTGAAAACAATCTATACATTCTTTATCAATCTCTCTTGTCCAAAAACCTCGAGAGAAGTGCTTGGAAATCTGGCCTTAAAGGTTGCTCCAAAAAGTTTATAGATCTTGCTTCTTCCGCAGACTGAGAAACAAATACTTGTGGGGCTTCCTTAACCTCCTTCTTCTGTTGCTCCTTTTCTTTGCGTTTATGTGTTACACGAGTTATCCTCTGCTCCTTCATCTCAACTTGTTGAGGCCCCTCAGTCTGAAATTTCCCAATTTTCATCAATATAGGCTCTTCAGACTGCAATTCTGCCTTCTTCTCTTCCAAAGCTTTAAACATAATAGGTGGTGATGAACATACCCCCAGGACCAAAGTGTAAAACTCTTTTGCTTTGAAAACAGTATTAAGTCTATAACATGTCCCCAGATAATTCACCACCATTCCAGTCGGGACATCCCATCTGAACAACATTCACCTCTTTTTAAGTTCATCTGCTAAAAAAGCAAACTCCTTTCTTCTTCTTAAAATTTTAGATGGGATCTCCTTTAAAATTATAATGTCTTGTGAAGCAATCTGAAACCTCTTATTGTAAAAAGCTTGTATAATTTCATTGCGCAGGGATCTTTTCCCAAAATAAATTACCACATCTCTTGGCAGATTTCTTTGCTTTGCCACCACAGAGTTAACTCTAAATGTTTTTTCAATTTCACTAACTATTTCCTCTTTTTCTCTGTCCAGAATCACAGCAAAGTCATTTGCAACCATCTCTCTCAGATCTCCTTGCAGAGACTCTCTCAAGCCTCTAATTCTTAAAGCATATTCCATTTCTCTATATTGAAGCATAAGAATCTCATCTTGAGAATTTTCCATCTCTTTTTCCATGCCTTCAAATTTTCCCTCCAGCAGCTCCACTTTCTCTGCAACCTCTTCTACACGAAAGTTCAACTTTTCAAGAACAGAGGCAAATCCTTTTAAAGCCAAAACTATATCTTGCCTCAGAATCCTATTATTTTCCACTAAGATCTCTTTCACTTCTCTCCTGATTTGAGATATAGCATTTCCCATTATGTCTTGCAAATCCTTTACCGTTAATAGCTGTGCCGAAGAAGAGGGTAAAACTATTGATTTAGATTGTTGCACTGATGATATCACCGAAGAAGAAGCCACCTTAGGAGCTGTGGGAATTACTGGACGCTTTGGAGCCATCTTAGAAAATCTTTACTCCTTCTTTAAAAATACCCAAAAAAAAGAGGGAAGAAAAAAAAAGGTAAGCAAAAAAAAGGGGGAGATTAACTCCAAAAAATCAAAAACTCCTTCAAAAGGAGATCATTATAATAAAAAGAAAAAAGTTGGGATCATTTCATAATGTAGAGGCATATGAGATGGCCTTGAAGACAGGAGGAAGAGTCATCCCTAAGGCAATGAACAGATTAGACGGGCTTCTATCTATCATCTTGGTAGCAGTTTTTCCTCTTGGCCTTCAAGGCCATTCCCTAGGTACTGTATACAAATAAAGTGTGACTTGCAGACATTTAGAAAAATAACAATTATTTTTTGAGAGTGAGAGCAGCTTATCTGTTAGCTCTTCCAATGAATAGAGCATAAATTTACTACCATATTTTGGTGTCTCTCTTTCAGGTATGAGCTATCTATTCTTTCTATTTATTTTTGTTAACATTAGCATTAAATAATTTTGTAAAGGGAATTATTACTTTATAAGGTTGTGAAGGTTTACTCTGCCTTTGTAAAGGTGGAGAAAAAGTATTTTTTTATTATGATAGCTGTGAAAGAGATTTTTAGGGAGAAGATCAAAGTCCTATTATGTTTTTAGTATGGCATTGTAGATAAAATCTATCAGATCCATGTTGAATCATGCTAAATCAATCCCTTAACAAGCTTGCAATATTCACATGTTGAGTTTGTGGGGGTGTCCCTGTGACTGCCTCAGCATAATAATAAGTAACCTAGAAGGATGCATTATGTTGCAGTTAGTGAAGTAGATAATCATTTTTATCTAAATAGATTTATGGAATACATCATGTGATTAATTAAAAAAGTATCAAACTTTTTTCTATTTTGTCTTTTTTTAGCAAAAGAAATTATATTTTATTAAATGAAATTGCAGTTATGGATTCATTCATTCACCTGATAGAAAGCCCACTAAACTCCACCGTCTTTTGTTTTTTGAATAAACTTATAAAGAATGACTTGGGGAAAAAAAAATAAGAACTGTAGCTCCTTCATTCTGGGATAAACTCTATGAAATCTAATATCTTCTGAGATATTTTTCTAAGTGGGTCTTTGACTGAACCCTTGTAATGACACTTAATTGTTTTTTTTCTTCTGTTTTCAGTCAATTGGGCTTATTATTAATATGGAACATAAATGGAGCTGAGCTTGAAGAGTCACTCATTTAAACTCTATTCTCATAATATCAACAGTGCATAGAGCAATCTTTGTTACTCTGGTGGCTTGTAATCATCCGGATCTGATTAATTACAGAGACTGATACAAATCTCTATTTGTGGGACAGATAATGGTCTTGTCTCATGGCTTGCTTCTGAAAAAGAAAAATAACTCCACCAAAACAATAGAAAGGACATCTGTTGAGTCTTCCTGACTATTTACTAAGTAAAATACTGAAGGGGAGTTCAATTAGAAAGGTTATGTGAATGAGAGTCTGCAGGAAAGGTATAATGAACCGTGGGAAGGATTTCTGAAGAAATATCATATAAAATGCAAGGATATTATTTAGAAATTGCAGACTCCCCTAGAAGATGAATTAGTGGTGCCATGAAGCAAATTCTTAGCTTTCTCTCTTCAAGCAACTAGTGCAAATCCTCATATAATACCAATTGACCATCAGCCACTCATTCATTCATCAAAACTGGACAAGGGATCACCTCAATCATTTTACCAATATCTGGTTTCTTCACTGTCACTAATGTTGGCTATTATCCATATGCCCAATCACACTCAGACCATTTTTTTTCTCCTTTGCTATCCTTAGTGAAGCCATATGTTCAGCAGAGGAAAATTTAGAGTAACCCTTTCAACTGTCCAGATCATTTCTAAATTTGATATATCAGCCATGGTTAACAGAATTACAAGTTCTGGTAATGGAAAAAAATCACTATCAATCAGTAATGGTGGATCAATTTAATGGGTCCAGAGGTCTCAGTGCATTTAAACCCTTTATGAACTGTAACCAGGACATTTTTTATAGCAGAAGCTTTTTTGAACTATAGTATACAGATTACTATCTCTCTGATCAGCAAAAATAAAGTTAAGCATGTATCTTATTAAAATATAAGCCAAATATTTCTTTGACTTCATAATATTTTTAGCCTGTTTTAGCCTAGCAAACTGTATGAACTCAGCCACTTTGGTTTGTAATTATGGTTTATAATCCATAGTTCTTTGTGAACCAGGGTATTATAGCTTTTTAATAAGCTGTGATAGGCAAGCTACAGCTCAGTGTGACATGTTAAACCAAAATGCATTTGAGGCAAGCTCCAGCAACTCAAGCATAGACACAGTTGAATAATGGATAGATGAAACTATCAGTTTAGTCTAGTGGTTAATAGGCTAGAAAGTGGGAGACCATGAATTCAAATCCTACCTTAGGTATGAAAACTAGCAGGATGACTAGTTTTGTCACCTAGAGTGACTGGCTCTTGGCTCTAGGTGATCGCAATCCAATCTACATCACAGGTTGTTGTTGAATAGTCTTGCCACCTTGAATTATTTGTAAAACTAATAAAGATGGGACACAAATGACTTTTTTTTAAAAAAATCTATAATGTGCTACCTATCCTATTACCAAGTGCATGTCACTAATCCTTTTGGATTATCACACACATTTTATTTATAATTGATGCTTGTAATTTTTAATTGATGCTTGTAATCTTAATTCTGTGGATAGTGCATGTTGCTGTGGTGTTAAACACATGGATTTACTTAATCCAGGTTATCCAGGACTTTCCTGTCCTTTACTGAATAGGCTAAGATCTAGTTAGAACCTAGAAGGCAGACTGCAGGAGATCCTAGAGTCATAGACTAGACAGCATATTTGAAAATGATTCTGGAAGCAGGCAATAGTAGGACAATTGATACTAATTAAATTTAATATTGAACATTATTACCTACTTTCTATCCTATTTCTTTATTATTTTTCTCACTAAATTGCCTTTAGATAGACAGAAGGACAACAGGTAACATGATTCAAGAACTGATTATTCAACAGGTGCCAAGTGACTACTTTTTCCCCCTTAGGAACAGGATAATTAATCTTACCAATAACTTTACACACAGGAAACCTAAGGAATGCTGTATTGAATACTGAGTCAAAATATTACTTGGATTGTTTTTGCAAAGCTATACTGAAAGTAGATGAGAAGCATATCTGCTGTTTCTATCCTTACTTAACATTCTAATTATTGATTTTAACTATGCCACTTGCTATAAATGAATAAGGAAATAATTTGCCATTTGCTTTCACTTAAGCCATCCAGCAATAAAGATAGAGAGTACAATACCGGCACTGGATAATCAACATGGATATTCAATATTTCAGAGAGGGAAAGAAATTGCACTGGTCAATTTAAGTAGGTAAGATGTATGGTCTGGGCATGTAAAGGACACACTGGGTTCAATTGTACAGGCTTTTTATTTGGGGTAATTTGTGTATTTGGAACAGTGCTGAAAACCACTTGAAATAATTGTGCCAGCGAGGAGTCAATCCAATATTGTTTTTTTACAAGATATTTCAGCATTTGTAATAAGAGTTTTATACATGCTGTACATACTATTTCAAGTTTATTGTAGAGCTAGTACTAATTAAAACTTTTTTAGCCGGGTTACTTATTGTGGGGGATGGAAGAATTAAGAAGACCTAACATTTGAAAAGCGTGTGTTTGTGTGTGTGTGATGTGGTATGGCATAGGTGCACCAGATAAGTAAAGGGGAAAATAATAAGACACAACATAAAAGTGTGGTTGTGAGAAGAAGATGAATGGTTTAAAAATGAGATAAAGTAATGTCATAAAGTACATAAAATGTGATAAATAAATAAAATAAATCCAGAACTTTGAATATGATTCCAAAAAAGGTGCTTTGGAGTATGTTATGGTAGATCCTTTACTGGGATTGCATGTTTACCTTCCATAACTGTTTTGTAATCCTGGGAAAAGACATGGCTGCTTTAAAGAGTTGCAGATGTGTGCTACTATAGAAGTGTATTGAAAACGGAAGCTATAGACTTCTGTAGTCAGATTCTAAACTGGTTGCATTCTTTTATCCTGTAAATTGCCTTGACAGATGTTTGCTTTCTGAAAAGTTGCTTGAAAGTATTTCAATCCTTTATAATACTGCTAATACTACATAGTACAAATAATATTAGTGAGGAACCTACATTGGGAGCTAAGAGGTCAGTTATATCAGTTATCAGTTTCTCATGGCTAAGAGGTCAGTTATATCAACAATCAACATTCAATTAACTCAAAGACTGGAAATCTCAATATAAAAAAATGGTTAACCCATACGAAAGAGAAAAAAAGTGACATGAATTGATTTTTTTACATGGTTGCATGCATGCTTCAGTTAAAAGCAAAGACATTGTCTTTGATATAAGCATTTTAAAATACTTTGAGTTTATTCCTGGCTCATCCATGTGCACCGTACTGGAAAATAGATAAAAAGAACCTTTTTTTTCATATGTTTCTAGTAGAACACTTAGCTGTAGCTATATTAAAAACAGTTATAAAACTATTAATTATGTTTTGGGGCATCTCATTAGAAATCCATGAAATACATATGGCTATGTACCACATATACCAAACTGTGGGACAGAAACAGAGCCTTGAGTTTTGGATGGAAAACAGAAATTGAATTCAAGCAGACATTTCCATTGCTTTTATGCACCAGACAGAATTTCCTGGTAGGAAAACTCTTAAAAATCTATTTTGGGAGGATAAGAAAACTCACCACCAAGTGTCTTTGAAGAGTTTTTTCATATTAAGTACTGTTCTTAATTACTTAGCTTGTAAAAATGGGGTTAGAGAAAGGGTAATATTATATATTTTTCTCTCTGTGTGTGTATATGTGTGTGTTTTAAAAATCCTTTAACTGTTTCTTTGTCTCAACCAGATGAAGGCAGAAATTTGGTGTGGATTCTCTCCCCCACCCCAACAGTAATGAGTCTATTTTGCCACTGGATGATAAATTAGACATTTAATATTCAAAAGAAATGCCTTTCTAAGCACATGCAACCAAGATGTTTTCATCTTAGCTCTGGTTGTCAAAGGTAAAGAACAACTGTAAAATTTACCGTTTGATCTAAAGCTTCTTTAGTGCACATGTAGAGTAATAGATTCCAAAAGGGCTAAGAATTAATCTTTTTCTGATTACTAAGAAGTACAAGAAATTTTTATTTTTCAACATGTCTGCCTCCTGATTTTCAATTTGCTAATGCCAAACTTTGATGCTAGTTTTGCCCATTTCTTTATGGCACTAATCTAAAGCCATACAATTTGAAAAGGTTAAGAAAATAAAATAAAGCAAATTGATAACATTTTTGGCTGGAATGCAAGGATGTTTTAAATTTAGTATTCTAATTATCTCTGCTAGAAAACATTACATAGATTTAAAGATGGATGCTTGTTAAAAAAAGGTAAAGACAAACAAAAGTGTCAACGAGTAAATAAACAAGCAACAATGGTTAATTTATTTAATAAGGCTTCTTCTCAATAAACTTACATAGGATTTCTCATGCCTGACTGGATAAAAGTTAAATATATAAAATATGCCCAGCCAGCCCCCAAATTTAACTCACTTGAGTTTTTAATATTTTCCTTGTTTACAAATATTCACAGGAAGTTTGAAAAGAATATACCATGACAACTTTGTTTGCTCTGCAGATTTGTGGAAAATTAGTTGAAAACTTCTTTTAAGCTTCCCATGGAAACAGTTCATCTTAGGCACAGGCTATTGGCAATTGCTTAGTTATGCTGATTCAGTGCACATGGCATAAGTTTGGTATGAAGGTTTGTGCCAAAGGCTGGGTTGCTCCTCCAAGTGACATACTGAAAGCTAATAATAAAGAGAAGTGGTTGACTACTGAGAGAGAGAGAGAGAGAGAGAGAGAGAGATTGTGACTTCCTTCTTAAGATTGTTCCAACTTATCTACTCTGTCCCATTTCAGTGTGGGACTTATGCTAATTGACAAACTATGGTGAAAGAAAAGATACCCTCACATTTACCTTGTGACTACATGGACACAACTATGCAGGTTTTTGGGAAAAATGTTTTGCTTCAGCATTCTTTTGAGATTTTTTTTAACAGCTCTGAGATTTTATTAAAATAGCCCATTTCCCCCCCCCCCCAAGGCTTCTGGTCTGCCTGACAAAAATGTACCACTGATTTAAGAATCTCATTAACTTTAATGAGTGGGTTCCTTAAAGCAGCAATATCTATTTTTCAGTTCAACAGAAGGCTGCTTTAATGAATAGCAGTAAGGTCCTGGGTTTGTGTGAGGTCAAAAGCAGTAGTCTCCAACCTTCTCGCTTGGCAAACTTGCAATGGAGGAAGTGAGTGAGGATGGTTTTGCGCACTCTGTGCCACTTTCACAAATGCAGCTTTGCATGTGCGTGTGCGTGCCCTCACCCACCACTTCCAAGGGACGGTTTCAAATGGGCTGTGACCTGGCACAGAGTCACATACCAGGGGTTGGGGACCTCTGGTCCAAAGCACTTCTGAATCATTTTCAAAGCACACACAGCCTTAAAAATGACTTATCTGTAAATCATAAAAGACAAGATTTTGTCAAAGTCCTTCATATTAAGGGAGTAGTTTTCTGGATATTTGCTTGCAACAGAAACAATATTTTTATTGACACCACTTTTTTGTTTTCTTTTCAGAAATCTTTAATTTTCAGTCCTTCTCTGCAAAATGATTGTTCTTTCATTTGTGAAGATAAATGAGAAGGTACAATTTGCTGATTATAGTCTGCCCTTTCTAAAGTTTGGAACTACAACTCTTTAACTACAGCAATGACCACCCTGAATAACAACAAACAAATGTTGATATATTATTAAAAATTACAATTGTATGTTACAGAATGTTGGAATAATGTCTGATCAGAAAAAAAAGCACCAAGATTCATAAAAAAGTACTTAATGGAAGTTAGAAGGGACTGTATGCACCAACTGAAGTGCATAAATAGAAATGTTTACTAGGAATGCAGATGGGGAACCAATAAGGTATTTTATGTGGAAGATTTGTATGAAAGATTCATATATGCACATGCCAGCATATGAACAAAATATACATGAACAAAATAATTTTGGTCTTCTGAATTTTTATATTCTTAAAAATAGTCTTGTAATGGAAGAAGCCAATAAATGTTTCAGAGATTAATATTCACTAATCATATTTTATGATTATAGTCTCAGAGAAAGAAAAAGAGAATGCTAAAATTCTAGTGAGTTCCATTGAGCATTAAAAGTATGATTGGCAAACAATGTTTTTCTCAGTAAATCATTTCCAGAAATGGGAAGCTAATTCACATGGCACCATAAAGCAGTCTCACTAGTAACAGTGGGAAAAATGAAATTAATAGATGAAAACAAAGCATAAGTAGTACAAATGGCCAAGTTTTTGAGCAGGATCTGACATGCAAAATATGGCAGTGTAACAGAATGTAGAAATAAATACCTAAGCTACATATTAAAGTCCAGTGATACTTTATACCCAGGATTAGAAAATATAATAGTATATAATATTCAATGTGCTAACATGGACTATTGTTTTAATGATCTTATCCTCTTGTTCTTCATATTCTTATGTACCCTTTAGACAAAATTCTTAGAAAAAGCTTTCTGTGCAGTCTGAATTATTTTCACAGAAGTTGCTGAATAAAGGGATTGTGAAAATGAAAGAGCTAGATAAGTGAATTTTGTAGCCTGTTACATTGTTTATCTAGTCATTTTAATGGATGTTTATTCAGGGGGTGTCAAGGTTATCACATTCTTGGCCTCTGAATGTTGCAAAAATATTTTCAACATGTCAGAATGCATCTGTAGCTTTAGGACATGGCATTTCTTGTCTATAGTATCTTGAACATCATTATGTTGTATCTGACAGGATCATGCTCTTTGTAATTTACACTACTGACTTGTTCACTGGATGAAGAGCTGTTTCCATTTATTCAGCACTTTCTCCCAAGATGCCATCATTGCTTTATTATAGGCTACATTGTATGGGTCCCAGAAAAAATTGGGCAATTTTTTGCCATATTGTTTTTCCCATACTAGAGAACGATAGCATGTGTACCTTTTGAATGGGAATTGGCAGATTTATTTTCCATAACACAAAGCAGATTTCAGTTAGATTTGCTTTTGTTTATTAAAGCAGGCAATTACAGCCAATATTTATTTATAGATAAAAAATATTACTAGTCTTTTCTCTCTCTGTGTGTGCGTGTGCCCATCTACGTGCATGTGCCTGAATCTAAGAACTAAACCTGTGGTTGCTTTTATCTATTTTTTTATGTGTATATTATCCTTATTTGGTTTGGAATAGCTTTGAAGCTCATCAGACAAATGAAAACAACTATGTTTTCCAGGATGATATATAATGAGATTTTTCATATACTTGATATTTCAGGCTAATGGAACTGGGGAAATAGATAATGAAGAGAAAGAAAACAAATGAAATATAAAGACTTCGGGAGTGGACAAACTTTTTTTAAAAGTAACAGGGCAGGAATAAAACTTGGGAATAATTAAAGTAGGTCAGCAAAATAAAAATTAAAGTAGACTAGGAGAACAGTTAAATATATGAAAGGACAGAACTAGGTAGGCTAGTTTAGTATAGGTACCCAGAAACCAGGAGACTATGAGTTCTAGTCCTGCCTTAGGCATGAAAACCAGCTGGGTGACTTTGGACCTGTCACTGTCTCTCAGCCCAACCTCACAAGGTTGTTGTTGTGGGGAAAATAGGAGGCAGGAAGAATATTAGGTATGAGTGCCACCTTGAGTTATTTATAAAGTAATAAAGATAGGATAAAAGTCTAATAAAAATAATAAATAGGAGGGACAAAATAGAGAAGAAGGAAAACAGGAGGGCTAAAGAAAGGAAGAGGAAATAATAACTCTGCAGTCTATGTAACCTAACTTATGTGGCATTATAGGAAACAGATGGTAGTGACAGCAAAAGAAGAAAGTGTAGAGTTTCTTTCAGAATCAGAGGAATGACGAAGCTCTGAATTAGCAAATCAGTAAGTGCAGGGAAATAAACCCGGAAGCTGTGTGGCCTGGAAGAAGATTGGAGATTGATGGGAAATCTGTGGAAGCCATAGTAGCACACATCAAATTGAGAGGTGTCTGAAGCAGCACTGAGGATTGGGAGAAAAAACTATAGCAAGCCAAGGAGGAGAAGAGACTGGACTGGAAGAGAAATAACTTCAAAATGGGGAGAAGGAAGAAGAAGAAAAAAGAATAAAAGGAGAGAAAGTCAAAAAGAACCAAAAGGGAGATTCAGTGAACAAAGGAGAGTTTGAAATAAAAAGCACTGGTAAAGGTAGAAGGGTGGGAAAAGGGCATTTCATCTTCCTCCAAGGCTAGGACCATTTTCCACATAGCTGGAACGGCTATACAAAAACTGAAAGGCAGCCAAAGAATTGGTACTAAAAAAAGCAGGGAATACCTGACCATAGTCACTTATTAATGCTAAGGAGTGTCTACCTAAGAGTGGCTATAGAAGTCAGGTCATAAAGAAAAAGACATAGCCCATAAGCAAGAATAATTTGATGTCAGTTTGACATCAAGCTGATGTCAGTTTGGTGCTGAAGGTTGTGTCAGTTTAATTTTTTATTTCAATAAAACCATTTGAAACATACTTACTTGCATATCCTGTTCAGAATCACAAGATGGTTGTACAATTACTTTACTTGGCATTTCCAGAAAGGACTCAGAATTTAATTTCTTTAGAGTTCCCATTTAGGTGAAGGTATCAATCTGATGCTAATTTTTAGTAAACCAAGAAAACCAATGTGTGCTAGAAAGAATTCCATAGGATTTATGGCATTGACCAGTACATGAACCCAGGAAAGCTTCAATTAAATAGAGGAGCACATGTTCCTATGAATTTATTTCACTAGTGTTGTTAGGATACTCATGTTTTCCACTTGAAGAAATGTTTATTTATTTAGTTTCCTCCAGCCATCAATTTTTGTGAATTTGTAATGTTTCCAGAGCAAACTCAGTGGAAAAAAATTGAAACATTTATAATATAATTTATACGTTTTTATTCTTGGTGAATCCTGACATGTTCCTAATTCTTCTGTGAGCAGCTAAAAATGAGGGGTAAGAACAATCTTCCATGAAGCAATTTTTCTTCCTTCTTTCGAATGTCAAGCACCTAAGAAACATAACAAAACCCAATATTATTGCAGCCACACAGGAAAGACCTTTATCAGGCTTGTTTCCAAGCTTTGAAAGAGAACCCAGTCTAACTCATCCCAAATGACTTCACTGGAAAGCGAAGACATTTTTACTCAGACAAGCACTTAAGCTGCTTTGCAGAAATAAATGTTAATGTCTCCAAATTCCTCTTTACCTTCAACCAAACTTAGAAGCAACATGAAAGGAAATTTGGCTTAAAGAAAAGAATAATAAAAGTGTCTTTATGAATGTGTGAACAAGGCAAGTTACTTGCAAAGTCATGGTCTAGATACAATATCTCTAAACCATGAGTATCAAACTAGAATAATCTATAGAGCTAAGCAAAGTACCACCTTTAAACGTAGTTAGATTTCCTGACGTTTTGCTGAAAACTAGTAATTACTAAGAGTAATTCCACAAGTAAGCCAAATTCAACAGCATCTGACAGCTGCATCTAAATCTTGCATTGCTTTAAACTGTTTACCTTTCCACCTGAGCTGTTAGTGAGATTGCATGCTATGTCATAAATTAACCACAGTTTCTGGACTCATGATTCATTTGCATGGGTGAAAGGTGAGGGCACAATGAATTCCCCTACAGTTAACATAAACATTGACCTGATTGACTGCAAGGATATCTCTCTCTCTCTCTCTCTCTCTCTCTCTCTCTCTCTCCCTCCCTCCCTCCCTCCCTCCCTCCTTTAACATAATCACAGATTTATCATTTCTGCCTTAGATTTGCTCCAGATATTTGATTAAAAAGACCAGACTAATGTTTGCTTCTGTGTCCTTGCTTTAATTTTAACTTTGGACAAGTTAACTAAGCTTACTCTTACGGCTGCTCCTGTTGTTCGCCTGCTTTGGAACAGTCTTTTTTTTTTCTTCTGAGCATGGCAGCAATATCTTATGGCATAATACATCTTCTCATGCAAAGATAATCCACATCTTTCTCTTTGTCCTACTCTTCTAGACATGTTTCCTAAACCACGTCAGATATAATGGGAACAAAAGCAATCACCCAGATTCCAGGAATTGTCAGGTTGACTTGGAAGATTAATAACATTCACCATATGTTTCTTCCATCTGCTAAAAACCAAGCTCCACTTCCTAAATCCATTCATGAAGCTGAAGTATTAGCTGGGTGATATCAGTTACATGGATCATTTACTTGTTGCTATTTATCATGGCTTATTCTTGGCCTGTTTACAACGATGAGGGGTCTAATACTCACACTGAAATATTTAGCATTAATTTATTTCTGGATTCATGACATGATCAGATTTATGTCTTAAATCCTTTTTTATTGCTAGAAAAGAAGAAGACTGACATTGTCAGAAAATGAGGGCCATTTGTTTTAATCTCTAAACCTGATGTTAGAAGTGGATAAGACACAATAAAGTTGACAACCTTATGTCTGAAATGACATAGGGTCTCGTGCTCGAGCAGAGGGTTGATCTTGAAGACCTCTGAGGTCCCTTCCAACTCTATTATTCTATGTTCTACATTACTTTGTGAAGACCTTGTTCAACTTAATTTCTTACCATATTGTACTTATATGAATAAGGGTGTATTCATAAGTAAGGATGGAAAAAACTACCAACAGTTCTGTTGTTCATTTTTCCAAGTGGAAGATAACTCTATCTCATTACTGCATCAGTTTTCTTTTATTTAGTTTTAAGAAAAGTCCATATGAAATAGGTGCATTTTTTGGGTTCCATAAATGTCTACTTGATATATGTACTATATAAGAATGTTATAAGTATTCATATAAAAGTTATAAATTGATAAATATTGCAAACAATTTATCTAATATGCTATTTCTGTTCTTTTTAAGAATAAGTTTTGTGCTCTTTCAGGGCTGCATTAAAATATTTTTTCTAAGTGCAAATAGTGTTTTATGCATTATTTCATGTAATTATAATACAGTCATAGTAAAATGCAAAGAAAGTGAATTAATCTTTATCCTTATTTTCATATAAAATTACAGTTACATTAAACCTCAGATAGAGTTATATTTTTAAACCTGCTCCAGAAAGCCAAAGTCTATGGTTGAAAATTACCATAGCAATATCTATGTGATTTAGAATCTTTCTCTGATACTTCCTTCTGTTACATTATCTGACTTCTAAATAATACCATGCCCCACCAATGGAGCTTTCATCAGATTAGGAAGAAAAGAAGGATGGGACATCAGAAAGCTGATATTGAATGATGAAGTTTTTGTACAATAGGTGGAATTAAATTAGATTTCATTGTATCTGGTACAATCCCTTCAGACTCAGGACACAAAAGATATGGGTTTTATGCTTTTATTTGTAAACTGCCCAGAGTCATTTGGGAAGTGAAATGGGCACTATCTAAATTTGGTTAGTTAGATAGATAGATAGATAGATAGATAGATAGATAGATAGATAGATAGATAGATAGATAGATAGATAAACTTAGAACACTAGTGAAAGAAGATAAATGAATTTGACTGACTGCAGACA